TCCCTCCTTCCTTCCTCCCTCCCTCCCTCCTCCTCCTCCTCCTCATCCACTGGCCGGTCATTGCCCAATACAGCCGCCATTACCAATAGCTACAGCCGCCAGCCAGTCTCCTCCCCTCGCATGTGTGCGGGGCAACGTGGTGGTGCCCGGTGTGTGTATTTTTTTAGTTTTAAATTTTGTGTAAAACTTTTAGGCCATTCGTATCGAGAATTCCGCTGTAGTCATTGCCTGAAACTTTCGGGGCAGCGACGAATTTAGATTAAAGGCTCTTTTCGGCTGTCATCTTCACACATCCTTATACAATTTCAAATTGCCTGCTATAAGCACCCAGTTGAACAAGTTGTATATATATATATACTTTATATATTGATGTGTGTGGTAGAATTAGACCAGCACCGACAAACAGTGAGTTACATAAATTATTTTTAAAAATTAAATTTTGAGTGAGTTAAGAGTTTTTTAACTCACGCATTTTGATTGAGTTAAGAGCTTCTTTAACTCACGCATTTTCACTACCGCACTCCTTGTTTAGATGACCACCAAAGAGAAAAAAAAAAAAATATCTTTGTGTTTCACTGGCCTGGGTAAATAAATTGGAAAAAATACTAAGGAGTACCCTCTTTTCACTTCCATGAAGGTGTTCTTTTCGGTGCACCATTTTTCACTATATGCATATTCATAATTTCCTGCTCTGATCTCTATTATGTTCGTTCGTCTTGGTCATCTCTCAAATGCCGAGAGGGAATACCCAATCGCTCATTTTTAAACTAGTAACATCAATATTATTTACTCTCATATTGACATTTCCATGCATGGTGTTATTTGAACAAATGTATTAAGGTAATTGATTTTAGGATTAGAGCAATAGGTAATAGCCTGAGGTAATGAGCATTGGTCTCTCTGTAATTTATTAGATAGATGAACAATGGTTAATCAGCAAAGTTGCGCTTAGGGATGTTCACCAAGATGTCATCAAAAAGTTTTAAAAATTACAAGGATTGTTGAGTTTTTGAAAACTACTTTTCGAAAATCCTTCGGTTTTTCCTGTTTGTTAATTTAATTAGCTAATAATTTGTGGGATACAGAAGCCAACTTTTTTTTTTAAAATATAAATTTACAGTGAATAATTTGAAAATCTAAAAATAATACCAGATAGTCCTAATAAAGTGGTTATGGGAATGTGCAAATTGCGTTTTTGATTTTCTAAAAATATTTTTTTTAAGAAAAATTAAATTAATTTTCAACAAAATCAGTTTTTCCAAAAAAAAAAAAAAAAAAAATTTTAAAACTTTTGATGGCATCTCAGGAACATCCCAAAGTGGCAACTTTATCCCAATTTAACCATGTCTGTATCTATTATAGCTACTGAGATACCAATGCTCGTACTTGGAATTTGTAGCACCCCAGCATTTTAAGTAGAATAATTTTTAAAATTCATTGTAAAATTGTTATAGTTTGATTGTAGATAGGGGCCATTAGGATAATGGCTTGAGTTAACTTATTAGTAGCCACTTGTATTACAACTCAGCTAGCTGCACTCGTGCAACTCTACACGCGTATCTTAATGATGTTTTTAACTCACTCTAATCGTAAATATCTATTTATTACATATGTATATATAAATTAGGTGTATAAATTTAGTAATAATATTAATATTTTGATTTATAGGTGGTAAGAAGTGTTTCTTTTGAAATCACTACTTAATAGTAATTTCCTTTTTGATTTTATGATAAAAAAAAAAAAAATTGTTTATTTAATACAATTATAAATCCCTTGGAGAAAAATGCATTAAAGGTAGATTCAATCCATTTATCATGCATTTTTATTGACAATTTCAATTTTAGGGAAATGATCCATACTGCAACAGTATTGCTGCAATTATTTTTAAGTGTACCATTGATCTCAATCAAGATGATGCATTTCAAATCATTTTATCCAATCTAAGTCACTTTTAAATATAATATTTAGTGTTCCTTTAGGCACAGATGGGTTTTGTATCTGCTATTTATTAAAATATTTTGGGTAAAATCTACTGACTCTGTCTGCGGTCGAATTCAATCTCATTTGTAATGGTGATGATAGCAAAGCAAGAATTTCCATTAACATGCTACAAACTGGATAAAAATTCTCACATTTATGTCAGTAATGAGAAAAACAATAGGCGATATTATTATATAACTTGTAATATTTGAGGGGTAGTAGGTATTCCTGTTGGAATTTGACTTTTCTGAAAATCCGTTTGCCAAAATAACAAGCTTTTACGTCAAGCAGTTTAATTAGAATCGTGGTTAATCAATTACCCAACTTTTGAACACCCTGTAGTATTTTTTAAAAATTACAAAATATGTAAAAAACAAAATAAATTAAGTGTCCAAGCGTTTTCCGGAAAGACTAAATCCGTTTTAAATCGACTTACACCCTAAAGTCAACTTGTTTCCAAAATCAGCTTTTTACACAGAGAGCTTAAGCAGGATCGTGATTAATCGATGACCAGATTTTCGAAACACCCTGTATACATTTTTAAAAAATCTTAAAATATGTAAAACAAAATAAAAATATACGTGTTTAAGCGTTTTTTTTCGAAACTTGACCGTTTTTATATAAAAATATTGTAATATTTGAAGGGTGGTTCCACTTTGAACTTGAATTTCCTTGAAAAATCCCTTCTTATCGAACCTCTACACCCTAGAATCAACCTGTATGCCAAAATTGAGCTCTTACGTCCAATCTAAAAACACAAAAAATATTGATATTCTTAATATAAATTTTGTGAACTTGAATCAAATTATTTATTAAATTTTTATTTTATGCGTATAGAAATATTTGTTAATGTGTTAGAACTATTTTTACGTGTAAAAATTATTTGTTATACATTAGAAACTATTTGTTACACGTAAAAACTGTTTGTTATATGTAAAAACTACTTGCTACATATAAAAATATATTTTTTAATTTATTACTTTTAACATTTCAAACTACACTTTTCAAACATGTCCGTCAAATCCTTTCAATTTATTAGCTGTTAGTAAGAAGTTTCATTCCTTTTAAATATAATTATTATTTCTGTGGTTATCTAAAGTGGAAAGTTGATAGCAATCTGTTACGCTAGAATCCAAAGAGAATAAAAGACATTATTTCAAGCCAGGTTTACTTTCAAAGTTTTCGAAGTTTAAAACTTCAGAGTGTAATGTTGACTATGTGGCTCTTGTGTGGATAAAATGGGCCAGTATGTTAGGAGGATAATCCATAAATTAAAATTACAGGATTTTGCTATATGGCCAGCCTTACATAGACATCAAATAACGGATTCTGTAAGTTGTTTTCTGTTTTATTTAAAAATCTTCATCATCATTTTCAGCTTATTCAACCATTTTCAATAATGGTAGCCTCTTACATATTTAGATATTCTCTTTGTATTTGGGCCCATTGTTGTCTGTTGTTGACTATGCATATCCAAGTTATCCCTGCTAATTTCCTCTAATATCATGGTCCCATCTCCTCGGGCTTGGTTAGGGTTAGGGGTCTTAGGTCTCTTTTTTCGAAGAGGAGGGAAAAAATCTCTCCATAAGACACCCATTTGGGTAGTGCCGGACTCCTACCCGGCTAAAAAAAACCCTCCTCGTTCAAATAAGCACACCACGCCGGAACCACTTACGCATTACTTCGACGTGGAGGCTGCCTACGCCATGTGGCGTTGTTTCTCTCCTTTTACTCTTAGTATAATATTTATGCATTTGTTTACTGGTTTCTATAATAATTCACCTCCCTCAAGGACTCTCATCAAGTTCGTTTCAGTGAAAACTAGTCCACTCTCCTTCTTAAAATTATCTCCTATGTTCAATCAGGTTCATTTTACCTCACAAAAATAAACAGACCTAGAGCTTGCCCGGCGTATCTTATAGAGGTATTTTCGGAAGCACCCGTGTCCAGACAGCATTTGTGTCAGGTGGTATCCCACTTCATCATATGGTCTGTCAATCCATTTTTCGATTTTGGGTATAAGTCTCCAGGTTCATCTTCCATACTTTCCTTTATCCCACTGATCCCGCCACTTCTCCATCACAGTTTTCCTTGCTATTTGTTTGAGCTCTCCCTTGTATCTATCCGCTCGTTCATGAGTTAATAAGTGGATAGGAGAGATGCCCGCAATGAAACCAACTGCCTCAGTAGATACAGTTCTGTAAGCACTACAAACTCTAATACATAATTTGCGCTGCAGATCAAAATCAAAACAAATCTTTCGCTTTGTTTTGATTTTGTCCATTGCCTTACACCATACCGGAGCTGCATATAACAATGTATTACGCTAACAAGAATTCTACGCTTTGATGACCTAGGGCCGCCTATGTTCGGCATTAGTTTTGATACTGCAGCTAGAGTTTTTTCCGCTTTAGTGATTATCTGGGTAACATGTTCACAGAATGTTGTTTTACTATCTAACCAGACTCCGAGGTATTTTACAGCATTCTTAGGCACGATGAATGTTCCCTCAACATCAAAAAGGATTGGCGCCAGTTTTCGTTTGGTGGTTAGAATTACCGCCTCTGTCTTTTGTGGTGCTAGCTGTAAATACCTTTGTGCCATCCATTTAGAAATTCTCAAGAGGCCGGTGTTAGCTTTATTCATAAGTATTTCCTCATTATTAGCAATCACTACCATGGCTACAGGTCTTCTTCTAGGTCTCTAGAAGCTCTTCTTCTAGGTCTCCTAATTCCTAAAATGTGGGTACCCATGCTGTAATTTTTGCAATCCATCTGTTGTCCGTCCATCTTGTCTGTCCATTGCCACTTGAGGGATTTGATTCTGTAGGATGACATCTATTACCTTGGTCTTTATCGTCTAATCCACTAAAAATAAAAATAAAAAGTAAATATTTTGATATTTTTTTTTTTTTTTTTTTTTTTTTTTTTTTCTAATAAACTTTTAGATGTGGGTTCAACTACGGTAGCGAGTATAGTTTTACTCAAAATGTCTATACCCATGTATGGATTCATTTCTCCTAAAAATCCTATACTAATAGTACGAGAGCTAGCAACGTCGGAAAAACAAGTAGGTATTTTAAGATTCTCAGAATTTTACTATGTTTTAGAACAGAGCAGTTCGTCTCATTGTTGATCATTAGTGCTCCCTACTGCGCATTGAAAGAAGATCCTATGTTTTTATTAGTCCTTTAAATTCTAGTATTGAATATAAATCGAACATGTCTCCATAGCGCAGTGCGTAGAGTTTCCGGCCACGAACCGATGATTCAGAGTTCGAATCCGGGTCGGGACAAAGACTTTTTTATTTTATTTCCGTTTATATTCTGATGGTAAAGTACTAAATATTTGTTTTTATTTAATTATCAGAATTATTTAATACTTTACAATCAGAATATAGACGAAAATAAAATAAAAAAGTCTTTTGACCTGACCCGGATTCGAACTCTGAATCATCGGTTCGTGGTCGGAAACTCTACGCACTGCGCTATGGAGACATGTTCGATTTATATTCAATACTAGAATATATAGAACGCAAAGGGTATCGACAGCCAGACGGGCCGCATGCTGTTCCAGAGAGCATAGTAAAAGACAAAGTAAAAGATATATCAAAGAGCCAGACGTCTTAAAATACTTTCTCGAAAAGTCTTGGGTCGAGATTTCCGTATGTAAGAAGAACACAATGCGTTTTATCATGTACTGAACAAAGAGGGAACAGTAAACACGTTGCCAAACGTATGAAATAAACCGAGAAACTGTGCACATTGCTAAGAGACGTGGAAGGGGATATATCAGATTTGTTGCAGTCGACCGGTTGAACCAATCAGTACCTCTGTCAGTACTTAAAGTTCTAGGGAAAGCAGGCATCATGCGTTCAGCTTCACAATTTAATTTCGTCTCGTGATACTAGTCGTTGTAATTTTCCCTATAGCTTAAAAATTTTTAAGTGCAAGTTAGATATACTTGCATTTTTGGTAAAAATAAGTGGAATTGAGTTGGTCGAGCTATTAGAACTCTGAATTCAAAAATCGATATCTCGAAATCTATTAGAAATGATTGATTGTAGTTTTTTAAAAACTTTCTTAGCAGGCAGTATGCAAAAATCTTTTTAAATAAAAAAGTTACACGATTTCTGAAAACTGCTATGCACCTAAAGAGTAGCGAAGTAATACAGTAAATGGATGGATTTTTTAAATTTTAGAATGAAAAAAAAACAACCTTATCGAATTTTTCTTATGTAAACATATTGTAAATGATCCGATCTTCAAAATAAAAAAAAGCTTCAATAGTTATGTATAAAAAAGTTGAGCTCTTTTAAATTATCGCGATTACTGACATTTTCTCGTTATAAAAAAAATAGACACCCTAACGATATCCTTATAATTCCATTTCAGATGCTCAAAAACATATCTAATGATTTTATCTAGTTACCTTTTTGAAAAAAAGTCTTAAAAATAAGCGGTTTGCGATCGTGATTTTACTTTACTTGATATGGAAAGGCGTACCGGCAACAACGCAACAGCACACCGTCGCATTTCTCTCACTCCGACTTAATAAAATCCCTATGCGATTTACTTCCACCCATGTAAATACTGACCCAAAACTCAAAAGTAACAGTTGCCAGCACGGTATGGGTATTTCGCCACTGCAAGAAAATCTACAAAATAAAATAGTTATTTTTTGTAAACACTTCTGCGTTAATCCCAAACGGAAACTACTTGTCAGAAGTTAGGTTTACAGATATACAAATTTGCCTAAAGAACAAAAAAAATGCTTAACTTTTCGGAAAGTTTCTCTCTTTCCGTCGTCGGAAGTTTTACTCACCGTCCACCAAAGTTTTAAAGCGTCGATATTCCAGTACCGGACAGTGGCACAGCAGATTCTCTATGGTTTCTTCTTCCTCCCCGCATTCTCTGCAGTAGTCGTTGGAAATCTTCCATCTCTCGAGGTTTACCCCCGTGGGGCAGTTTCCGGTGATGACACCTACAATTATCCATACTAGGTTCTATTTGTGCTCTAGTAGTTGTTTGTCTTTTTGCTAACTACCACTGGCCACAGTCTTCGAGCTGTAGCGCAGTCCTCACGGTGTTAGTAGTTTCTATAGCTTCCTTCAGTGTGTTGATCGTCACAAGTGGTGGGTCATCTTTGTTGCAACTGAACTGCTTGAAGCCATTTTGCTTTTGATCAAATCGGTGCGAGAAGCTGTGAAGCTATTATATAAAATGTTGTTTCTGGAGAGTTGAATATCCGAAAAAGATCAGTTATTGAATGTTATTGCACCCAACAATCACGTACTTACGCCTTGCTTTACGCCTTTACATTTTTTGGTAATTTTATCAACATTTGAAATTGTTACAACAAAACGCGACGCTCAGTTCGCTTAGTTTTTACTATCCGAAACAGCGGTACATAACACAAACCTCGTACCTGAGTGTTTATACCTTCAATAACTACACTAGTAAAAACTCTGATGAAAACTGAACTTAAAAACTCAAACTTTTTAAATCTTAGTAAAATTTGTATTTTAATTTTAGGAGAAAGAAGCCTTACTGCTTAGCAGTTGTAGCATAGTATATAATTATGTGGAAAAAAATCGAGAACTTTATATAAACATATTAAAGGGTTTCGAAAAAGTTTTAAAGAATAACCCTCTTCTGTTAGACAACATTCTTAGTTTATTTCCTATACTTCCAGTCAACACAACTGATGAGGGCATAAGTAAGTCTATTTCAGTAAAATGAAAGCAATTTATTTAATTTTATTTTCTTTTTTAGCCAACGTCTCGCTAGATTTGCTCACGTTTATTATAAATACTCCATTCAGTGAAACTGATGATAAATGTCGTTGTTAGTAGAATCCTTCTTGAAATCTTGCTACAATAAGAATTTAAACAAATTGCAAGATTATGACGCAATAAAAAATTATGCGGATGTGTAGAGTACGTTCTTAAATCCAAACGATATATTCTAGGCGATTTAAAAAAGCATTAAAAAAACATGCCCGATAACGTCAAATCGATTCATGCAAAAACATGTATCTGTGGATTTCTTTAGTTAATTTACTTGAAAGCGAGAAGAATGTGAAGAATACAACAAAAAATACATTCTGTTATCGAGATATTGAGGAATGTTTCAGACGTTTGAAGGATAAAATGTCGTTTATACCCCCGGGCGGTAGGTCGGCGAAAATAGCCGGTTTAGTAAAGGAGATGTCGTTGAAACATTTTGGCAAGGACGTCGAAACAAAGTCGCCTGTAAATGTTAAGGGCAGTTACCTTAAAGATTCGCCTAGTCCCTCTGTTATGGAAACCGCCAGCGACTGTACCGGAAAAGAAACCAAAACGACTATCTCTATAGACGACGAGAGTAACAGCAAGTTTGTCCTGATCGATTCCGAAGTGAAAATCAAACCTAACGAGATGACCGAGCACCAGAAAGAAAACACTGAAAAACGTCGTGAAGATATACCGGCCTTGTATCAAGATTTATCCCAAAGTTTGTCTCAAACCTTCGATTCTACCTCCGACTGTAGCAAGTCGAATAACGTAGTAATAAAGAAAGAGAGACCAAAGAGGACGATAGTACTGAGACAATTTTGGAAAGAAGGTACAACTAATGATTTTACGAACAAATTCCCTATTACAGAGAAAAACCAGAAGACGTGAAAAAAGAGAATACGCCGTTGTGTTTGAAAATCTAGTGATGAATATTGTTGGTGCGGACGAGAGTTTAGTTCTCTCCCTGCGAAGAGGAAAAGAAAAGAAAAGAGTCAAACAATCAGGAACAAGATAAAACCACTACCGAGGAAAGTTTTGAAGAAAAACCCGCAGTCGCAGAGTCTACCAAAGAAATACCTTTAAAGTAAGCCTGAAGAACCCGACTTAGCGAAAACACCTCTTGTACAGACTCCAAATAAAGTAGCGGAAACGCCTAAACGAAGAGGTCGCCCCCTCGAAGACAGAGTTCAGGCGAGACTTCTTCAGTAGAACGAGAAGAAGGAAAACATATCGAAGACGGTCTTGAAGAAGGACTTAAAGAAACTTTTACGCAACCCGGAAACAACTGAAGCGAAAGTACCGGCCAAGAGAAAGAGAGGTCGGCCTGCGCAAGCCAAACTGGAAAGTCCTAAAATCGAGTCTGATGTGTCTTCTTGTAATGAGGACGTTGTCAAAGAGGAGGTAAAAGACGAGTTAAAAAATTGTGCTCAACATGAACTCGATAGAGATCAAAAGAAGTCCGAGGAGGCCTGCCGGTACGCCAAAATCGAAAACGAATACGCCCAGTAGTGCTCCTCTTAGAAAGTCGACCAGGAAAAAGCATTCCGACACCTAAACTGACAGAATTTTATAAAGAAACTAGTGAACAAAATCGGCTGGATTCGGAAACATCGGACAGTACTTTGGCAAAAGATAACACCAACTTAGAAACTTCCAAGGAAAACCTGAAAAGTGATAAAGTTGATCAGAAGAAAAACGACCTTAGAAAACTCGTTCGTCACAAGTCGAAAACGAGGTGACAGGAAATTTAACCAATAACAAAAAAGGGAAGAAGCGTAAAGAGAAAGTAGCGAGTCGGACGATTTAATTGAAAGTTCCCAGGATTCCTCTACTAATATTACAGTTAGAAAAAAATCGTTTACCAAAAATAAGAGCGACAATTTGCAAATAACACTGGACAGTTTTATATCGCCCGCCAAAAACACCGATACAAGCAAGTTAGTTTTGAAAGAAGACGGTATTCCACAAGAGGGCGTAGTAAATGCAATCCCAGAAGACCATGAAGCTGCAAAAGAAACAGTAGTACCCGATCCGAGCGCTAGCGAAGACCTTTTTATACATTTGGAGAAGTCTCAGAATACAGAGCCCAAAAAAAGACCTCGCCGTAAACGAAAATCTAGCAAAGCAGCTCGTACGCCTGTCTCACAAGAATCTACTACAGAACCGTCGCAAGAGGAACACTTTAAAACCAGTCCCAAATCCGAAAAAGAAGAGGAAACTGTACCTGTTTTAGATACAGAGTGTTTTGTTGAATTAGACAGCATATCTATTCCGATTCAGTCTCTCCAAAACGACATTATTAAAAGAACGCAAAGTCAGGAGACTGAAACTCAAGGTACCGAATCTGTGGGTGTTCTAAGCGAAAACATCGAACTTCAACTGGATGTTCCCAAAAATCCCGACCTGACGGAGAAGGATAAGGAAATGGCCGAAATGGAGACTGCCTCCATGCCTCTGGACAGTTCCAATGATGAAACCAAGGTGGCTAATGTTACGGCGATCGAAAGGGTGGTTGAGGAAAACGTCTCAGTGTCTGGACTCGATAATACAGCGGTTGTTAATAATCAAACGGAGGAAACATTGCATAATAGTTCCGTTGTTCACAATGATATGGATACTATTCCAGAAACAGAGATTGTATGTCACTCAGAAGCAGAGATTGTATGTAATTCTGAACCAGAGACTGTATGTAATCCTGAATCAGAGGCTGTATGTAAGTTTGAACCGAAGGCTGTATGTAACTCTGTACCGGAATCTGTATGTGACTCTGAACCAGAGGTTATATGTAACTCTGAACCAGGGGGTGTTTGTAACTCCGAAGCAGCTGTTACCTCAGAGCATGATGAAACTAATCTGGGATCTCCCGATCGATCGATAGGTAAGTTTTGATATATTTTTTAAGTATATTAACATATTTTTTTAAGATAACAGTGCATGTAATAAGAAAAAGGGCGTCTAAAGTCAGTCATATTGAAATCCATTTGCGGTCTCATCAATTTTGTTTATATCATCAACTATCTAAATTATCAGGCTCACTAAAGTAGTCGGTATTAACTGATTGGCTGTTACTGAATGAATAATAAACGTGAAAAAACAGTTTTCCTTGAAAATGAGCAGTATATCCGTACTTTCAGTCAAAGTGATAGCAAGTTCTACTTTGGTTCATTTTGACTAAATAATACACACTGAATTGTTGGTCTTTTTTCTAAAATCTCCAAAATAAAATAGTTATTTTTTGTAAACACTGCTGGCGTTAATCCAACGAGACTAATTGTCAGCATTGGTCTACCAATAAACAAATTTGCCTAACGGACAAAAAAATGCTTAACGTTTCAGTTTGGTTTGGAGGCAAAAAAAAATACAAAGAACAAAGAAAAAAAGTATTTAAAATATTTAAATGAACAATATAATACAGAAAAAATATATATTTAGATTACATTATAATGAAAGAAAAATAAAAGAGGCTTTTTTAATACAATCTAACAAAAATAAATATATTGCTCATGCATCTGTAGATGTTAGTAATGTACGGCCAGGCCCGTTCCTGGGGTATCTGGCGCCTACGTGCAGCATTCTTTGGTGCGCCCTTTTTATATTTAAATCAATTATATATTTTAATCTTAATCTCAAAAATTTAAAGAATTTATATTCTGCGACAAACGGGCAATATGTAATTGGAAATGTAAAAAAACTATTCTAATTAAAGTATAAAAACATTTATTAAATAAAGAAAACAAACAAAACCACAAAAATATTTAGTAACAAAAATAGTACCTTAAAGAAAAAAACTGACCCATTTTATATGAAATACATAAAAACAATAAACTAAAAATCGGAAATAATATGCATGTACTGATTTCTTTCGAAAATCGACAACTATAAAACTATGAACCCTTCCCGGACACAAACGGTACATTATGAGACAGGAAATTGTAAAGAGAAACAAGCTCTATAACATAGGATACAACATTTTAATGAACAGTGCTTTCCATAAAATCAATATAATGAAAAATATACGAAATAATATACATGTACTGATTTATATGAAATAATATACATGTACTGATTTATATGAAATAATATACATGTACTGAAACACAAGCCCTATACATAACATATACATATACAGGGTGTCCCAGAAATAAGTGCAAATATTTTAAGGGGTGGTAGATTTCGATAAAAGAAACATATTTTCTCTTTATCGTTTTTCAAATAAGTCCAAAATAACGGAGTTATTTTACTTTGAAAATTTCCAAAAAAAATGATTTTTTGCTAAAATTTTGAGAACCACTGGATCTTTTCTGGATTTTCTTTCTTGTAAATTTAACCTAATACCTATGTACCATATTATCAGGAAATTATGTTTTTTAACTAAAAACTAAAAAAAAAATCCAAAAAAAATTTTCGCGAAAAAAAACTTCATAGGCGTGTTTCTGGGGTTGAATTATACTACCAGTTAAAATATTTACACTTATTTCTGGGACACCTTGTATAGTACTTTTTTGAGAGTCTTTCAATATTGTTTCAACGCATAAGCAGAGGCAAAGTTTTCCGTCTTTCAGTGACACTGAATCAGGCAGACTGCTTTAGTTCAGTTATTTGGACTGTTGTTTTCATTGTCACTGTCTTCTTATTGGTTCATGCACGTTTCTTATATTTTAGCATCAAGCGACACGAATATTCCCTCGTCTCCTGTAACAGGAGACACGCCCAATCGCAATTCCGAACTACTCAATAACACCTTAGATATATCTCCCATATCGCAGAAAAATAGCCCGGAAAACGGTAGTTGCGACGACGGGGAAATCGAGGAAGCGCAACCGAAAATCGTACCGGTAGCCTTGAAGTTCGATCACGAAGATCACGAGAACGATGGCAAAGAAAAATCTCCTGAAAAGGGAGACGACGCGCCCGAGAAAATCGTCCAAACGCACATGGAAAATCAGGATGCAGTTAAAGCGGATCAGCCGACAACTAGCAGGGACAATATAGCCGAGAGATCTAATAAATTTCTAACTGCTCTGAACGGGTCATCCAGGTAAAAATAAATTTAGGTTAGGTTAGATTAGATTCCCAAGCATTTTTTGTTTTATAAGTGTGTTAGGAAACTTCCCAATACCATATTATACAACCTAAACGCATCTAGAATGGTTGTCGTGAGTTATTGGTAACCATTATATAACACTTATATGCCCTAAACGGTCCATTTTATAACTGCTCCTATGGTAACCCTTAACACTCAAGGTGTGCAACCAAAGTCCTGAAGACTTTCTCAACACCTTTATATATCCTATCAAGTTACCGCTATAAAACTGAAAAAGGGTATATAATACTTATATAGTGGTGTTGAGAAGGTTCGCAGACCTCTAGAGAAATATCGCGCATGCGCGTTTTTTGAAAATAAACTTGTTTCTTTCTGACTACTTTAATATTTGCCTCTTTTTTTAACATAAAAATTGTCCTACGCAGATAATCCAGACCAGACACAAAAGAGACAAAATGATGCCATCCCTGTCATAGCCTACAAAAGCGTTTGCGTTATGCAAATGACTATAGAAATTACTGGCTTAATAAAATCTATTGTGCCTAGCCAGAGTACTAAATACATATGCGATATTAAATTTACTGTGTGAAAATCAATTTTACCTCCAAAAAACACATGCGCCCCCAAAAGCAGAATTATTTAATAGATTTTTATAAGCAAAAAAATATGGTAAAATTTTTGTAATGAAAGTCAAATTTATTAATATAAATAATAGAACATACGACTTTATAATACATAGAAATAACTGGCAACTGGCCAAAATATAGTTTTGTACCAGTTTTCAACGTTATCTTAGAAATACTCATTGTAGCCAAAAATGAAGACATCAATAATAATGGCTTCCATTATATTTAAAGTGCTATATATTACTTTAGGGTCTATAATATACTCATCAACCATTATATAAATTTGGTTACTTAAGGTTGCGTAAATGAGTTTGGGTTATTTAAAACACCAATTTTAGTGTTTTATACAACTAAAGGTAATACAAATCACTATTATAAATGCCGGGGTGTTTATGGCTACTTTCTGTCACCCAGAAAACCTTTATGTAACCTGTGGTGTCGACTGTAGCGACTCTCTGCAAACGAAGTTTGACTTATAGAAATTTGACAGATAATGTGCAGAAAACAAAACATAACCTCATAAAATTGAAATAATACTGTTTTGGTTTTGGTTCAATTTGATCTATATTTAAAGTGGTAGGAGTTTGCAAAAGAGTTCTAGGATCCTTTGGTACTTTGGTAGAACAGATATCAATGAATTTACTATAGAAAAAAGCTCTTTAAGTGCAGAATGTGTAATGTTAAAGCGTAGAGCTCATTCTCTTATGTTAGAACGAAGTCTTTCCTCCTTACCACATTCATTAATAGAGGCATCTTCTTCTCTCTTCCTTAACCAGACATCTTCCTGTTCCTGATCGTTTTGGCAACTTTCTGTTGGAAATATCTCAGGTTGATCCTGATCTCTGCTTGTGGATGGTAAATTTGCATGTTGGCTTTCAATATTGGTAGATGTAGTTTGAATGAGGTTTGGATTATTCCTATTTCTTTTTACATTCTGAAGAACCTTTCTTTTGAACGTAGATGTATTTTTGTGTTTTATCCAGTTTATTTTTTTATTATTCATTATAATACGGAATTGCTTGCTTGTTAATATATTATTTGTTTTGATTATAATAAAAATTTGAGGTTATGTCATTAGTTTTGATATTCGGTAACTACAGGTTATATGCAGTACATTTGAAAGGTGCAAAAAACGATTTGAGAGAACAATTATATAACTTGTAGTATTATTGGTTACATAATGGTTCTCAATAACACCTTTAATTATATAGTGTATATCTTGTGTACCTTTATAACACCTAATACCAGAAGTTATATAAAATAGATGTGAACACCTTTATAAAACCTTACTATGAAACCTTTAGTAACAAGAACCTGTAGTGTTATAAGGAAAGTGATAAACAACATTTCAAGGTTAATATTAGTGATAAATAACCAAAGCTACACTTATATAAATTAAAATACTGTAAGATACCAATGAGACATTTATTAAACCTTTATATAACTAACCTTGAGAATATATAACCTAAAGGAACTTAAAATGTTACTTGGGTTGCTGGGGTTTGGGATCCTGTTGATCCCTCACTCTGAGGACTTGGACCCATTGCGATATCTGTGTATTATTGTACCAAACCTTCCTCTCATTCTTTCTTTGTCTTAAAGGATTTCCAGCTCTTTGCAAAGTTCCCGATGTCTGCTGCTTCCTCTAGTCCTTCCAAAAAACTGCCCTAAAATTTTAAAGTAGTGTATCGGTAATCCAGTGCCAGACAGTGGCACAGGAGGTTCTCTATGGTTTCTTCTTCCCCTCCGCTAACTAGAATTACTGCTAAAACTAAAACTAGAACTTCTGCCTATGACTTTCTCCATACCAATCTTGGATCCTAAAATTCTTTTATTTGCAAGTATAGCAATTGCACCACCATCTCCTCGACCATTTTGATGTGTTTTGATAAGTGTTCTTATAATTACATATTTTTCCTAGGTTAATTGCTAAAAGAAAAATGTTAAAAACTATGTCACCGTCGGCATCGCGAATTAAGAAGCTTATGTCCAACGTTATGGCGAACTCGTTTGAAGAAGTTACCACGAATGTAAGTCAAGACGACATTTTAACGTTTACCCGAGAAGTTCCCAGTCCGTTAGCAGTACCCAGGAGCAGCATTTTAAAAAGGAAGCATTCAGATACGACAGATGATGGTCTATCACCTTGTCCTAAGGTAATAACCGAAGGAAAAAATGAAAAATCTCGAAATATCCTTATGGATTAAAAGTTAGATATCTGGCCGCTACCGGTAACTGGCTTTCCAGCCGAGAAAAAGATAGAAAACTAGAATTAATCGGAGCGGTCTCTTTTGATTTTATTTATATATCAATGTACGTACCAACAATAATTCAAGGATTATGAATGTTTTCTAGTCAGACTTTAACTTGTAATGAAGTCCCGATTTATTTTTTTAGTTTAATATGTTAAATGCTAGGCTTGAACATATTTCGATCAAGGCTTGATAGCGCGGCGCCAAAGTATTCCGTTAGTTTGGAAGGCCGAATTCGGGAAGCCCGAGTTCGAGGCTGCATCGGGGCATAATTTTTTTTTATTTTATTTTTGTGAATATTCAAAATAATAAATACACGTATCAGTTATATCTTGATTAAAAAATGTTAGTAACATAACAATAATAAAATATGTCTATACCTATGTGGCGGATTCATCTCTCCAAAAAAATCCTGTATGGGTATTTCGCCACTGCACTGCAAGAAAAATCTACAAAATAAAATAGTTATTTTTTGTAAACACTTCTGGCGTTAAACCTAAATGGACAGTGCTTGTCTAATTTGCCTACCAAAGAAAAAAAATTCTTAACGTTTCGGAAAGTTTATCTCTTTCCGTCGCACAGTGTGAAATTTACGGGGTGTAGCTGGAAAAAAATATTTCAGCGACTCTTCTAATGAAATATTAGTCTTTTTCGTTTTTATATGAGAAATTTTATCAAGACAAGGTAGATCATGCACCCAAATAATGTTAGTAGGGCATATACAGGGTCTCTCATAACGTTTGGTACATATGGGAAACTTTTTTACTATATTATACTTTTTTACTATAGAAAGATATATATTATACTTTTATGCTATAGTTATCAAGACAAGGATTCATAAAATGTTATTTTTAATAAAAAATTTTGTTGATTAGAGAATAGTTTTGATGTTAGTAACTACGGAGTTTAATATACGGAGTGTTTAAAATTCTACAAAATGTGGCGTTGCCGAACCAAAATACATAATCTATAAGAAAGGCAAATAAGAAAGTACTATATACAAGCAAAATAACACTATTTTTGTGGGTCAAACCGATTTAGAAAATCTATCTAAATCGGAAAAAATCATCCAATCAAAGAAAATAAAATAATCAATCGTTGATTTCTCGGCGAACCGCACCGCATAAAGAGACTGTATTTTAGGTTTTTCTTTCATTTTGGTGCCCTTTAATAATTCCTTTTTAATCGAAAATCTCCCCTTAACCAATCAGAATTTTTAGATAAGAAGATATGTTTATGCCTATTTGCCTTTTTCCATTTGTTCTCGATTTTCTGACAAAACGTCCTGGCCGACCTCTTATATTTTCTTTGACAGCTCTTGAAAGATTACTAGAATCAAAGCGTTCCAATATAAAATTCTTTGCCACTTCTTTGGAGTGTTAGAAGTCCAAACCTCATATTCATCCTGACGAGTGAAGCGCGCAGCCATCTTAATAATATATATGTATAGCTAAAGCGCACCTAAACGCACCTAATTTTTTTTATGTCGTGTGCTATAATATGTGGGCTTTCAAGAAATGACAAATGGTGGTATTATGTGGTATATGGTGGTATTATGTGGTATTATCAAAGAATATTATAGTTTTAAGAACTCTCGTGTGGAAGCTTTAGTGATTTGTCATACGGTGGCGCTTTTGAACATAATCGAAGCCTGAAAATGCTAATATTTTAAATTTTGAGGACTACGCGCGGCGATATTTCGTACGGTGTTGCCAAACATATTTTATTTCTCGATATTTAAAGAAATATGTATTGATTATATATTTTGTATATTCGATAGTACATGAGGCATCCTAAGGCTATGAAAAAAAAACGTAGCTATGAAAATAAAATTTTAGATTTTTAATTTTTTTGTACCTTCTAATAAAAATTACTTCTATTCCAATAAAAATTAACTAGTATGATTATGTGTTATCTGTGCTAGTATTAGGAAACTGGAGTAAATACGGAGAATATTAATTCGTTCTCTAAGATGAGCACTACTAAGTAATTTTTAAAAATCGACCCATAAGGGGGTGTAATTAGATAAAGGGATGTAATTATACAAAAAAAATCTGTACCTACTAGAGTATGAACTTTTGCACAGATGTGGCGCATTTGAACATTGATAAGCGATTTTGGAAATGTATAGCCTAAGGGTAGTGAAACTGGGGGTGAAATTTTGTACAAAAAAGTGTTAGTTCTAGGAGTATGAAATTTTGTACAGAGTTTCCTTAAGTGACGAAAGTGAGTACCTAGAAGCTAATTTTGACATTCATCCCTTAGAAATAAGGGGATGAAAAATTTGTACAAAAGGTTAAAATCGGTTTTAGAAGTATGAATGTTGCAGCCGTTCCTTATGTAACGTAATTTAGCATTAAGAAGCAATTTTTGGAAATTCGCCCTCTAAGGGTGTGAAATGAGGGGTTGAACGTTCTGGAACAATAAATTCTGTTCAAGGAATATGAGAATTTGTACAGAGGTTCCTTATGTAGCGTAATTGAATAATTAGAGTGATTTTTGGAATTCATTCCTTAAGGGGTTGAAAATTTGTATAATTTTTTATGTAAAATCCGTTCTAGGACTAGGAGTATGAAATTCTGTTCAGAGGTCCCTTAAATGATGAAAGTGAGTACCTAGAAGCGAATTTTAGGCATGCATCCCCTAAAAAATAAGGGATGAAAATTTGTACAAAAATTTGTTAAAATCGGTTGTAGAAGTATGAATTTTGCAGACGTTCCTTATGTAACGTAATTTAGCACTAAGAAGCAATTTTTGGAAATTAGAGCGATTTTTGGAATTCATTCCTTAAGGGGGTAAAACTAAGGGTAAAAATTTGTATAATTTTTATGTAAAATCCGTTCTAGGACTAGGAGTATGCAATTTTGTACAGAGGTCCCTTAAGTGATGAAAGTGTGTACCCAGAAGAAAATTTTGGACATGCACCCCTAAAAAATAACAATCCCTATAAAACAATTAAAATAAAAAATTTGTCTAAAAAATAAAAAAAAAGTTGGGGTGGGCCACTCTTATCACTTAGGGTATAAAAATAGATAACAACCTAGGAATAGGTTGTGACCAAACCAAACCAAACCAGACCTACTGAATATACATATAAAATTTTATCAAAATCGGTCTAGCCGTTTCGGAGATGGTAACAAAAAATTAAAAAAAAAACCCTATTAAAATATAGGGGATGATGGTGGAACGGTGAAAATTTAGGGTTATTTGTATTTATTAATGCCAACTAAAAAAATAAAAACATTTTTTCTTTTCAAAAATAAAAATGAGGGTGGGCTACCCTTACCACATAAGGGTATAAAAAAATAGATAACAACCTATTCTTAGACGTACTGAATATACATATAAAATTTTATCAAAATCGGTCAAAGCCGTTTCACGGTGAACGGTGAAAATTTTGGGTTCTTTGTATTTTTTAATGCAAAATAAAAAAATAAAAATATATATTTTTTCAAAATATAAAAAAATGGGAATGGGCTACCCTTATCACTTAAGGGTATAAAAAATAGATAACAAACTATTTTCAGACCTACTCAATATACATAATAAAATGTCATCAAAATCGGCCAAGCCGTTTCGGAGATGGTATCAAAAAAACAACCCCTATTAGAAAATAGGGGATGATAGTAGAACGGTGAAAATTTAGAGTTGTTTGTATTTTTAAGGCCAAATAAAAAAAAATATTTTTTTTTTCCAAAAATAAAAGATGAGGGTGGGCTACCCTCTCGGCTACCCTTATCACTTAAGGGTATAAGAATAGATAACAACCTATTCTTAGACGTACTGAATATACAAATAAAATTTTATCAAAATCGGTTAAGCCGTTTCGGAGATGGTAACAAAAAATCTTAAAAAACAACCCCTGTTAAAAAATAGGGGATGATGGTAGAACGGTGAAAATTTAGGGTTGTTTGTATTTTTTAATGACAAATAAAAAAAATATTTTTTTTTTCCAAAATAAAAAAAATGAGGGTAGGCTACCCTCTCGGCTACCCTTATCACTTAAGGGTATAAGAATAGATAACAACCTATTCTTAGACGTACTGAATATACATATAAAATTTTATCAAAATCGGTCAAAGCCGTTTCACGGATGGTAACAAAAAATTAAAAAAACAACCCCTATTAAAAAATAGGGGGATGATGGTAGAACGGTGAAAATTTTGGGTTCTTTGTATTTTTTAATGCAAAATAAAAAATAAAATATATATTTTTTCAAAATATAAAAAATGGGAATGGGCTACCCTTATCACTTAAGGGTATAAAAATAGATAACAAACTATTTTCAGACCTACTCAATATACATAATAAAATGTCATCAAAATCGGCCAAGCCGCCGTTTCGGAGATGGTATCAAAAACAACCCCTATTAGAAAATAGGGGATGATGGTAGAACGGTGAAAATTTAGAGTTGTTTGTATTTTTAAGGCCAAATAAAAAAAAATATTTTTTTTTCCAAAAATAAAAAAATGAGGGTGGGCTGCCCTCTCGGCTATCCTTATCACTTAAGGGTATAAGAATAGATAACAACCTATTCTTAGACGTACTGAATATACAAATAAAATTTTATCAAAATCGGTTAAGCCGTTTCGGAGATGGTAACAAAAATCTTAAAAAACAACCCCTGTTAAAAAATAGGGGATGATGGTAGAACGGTGAAAATTTAGGGTTGTTTGTATTTTTTAATGACAAATAAAAAAAATATTTTTTTTCCAAAATAAAAAAAATGAGGGTAGGCTACCCTCTCGGCTACCCTTATCACTTAAGGGTATAAGAATAGATAACAACCTATTCTTAGACGTACTGAATATACATACATATAAAATTTTATCAAAATCGGTCAATCGGAGATGGTAACAAAAAACTTAAAAAAACAACCCCTATTAAAAAATAGGGGATGATGGTAGAACGGTGAAAATTTAGGGTTGTTTGTATTTTTTAATGCCAAATAATAAAAATTAAAATAATTTTTTTTTTCAAAAAATAAAAAAATGGGGGTGGGCTACCCTTACCACTTACGGGTATAAAAAATAGACAACAAACTATTTTCAGACCTACTCAATATACATAATAAAATGTCATCAAAATCGGCCAAGCCGTTTCGGAGATGGTATCAAAAAAACAACCCCTATTAGAAAATAGGGGATGATGGTAGAACGGTGAAAATTTAGAGTTGTTTGTATTTTTAAGGCCAAATAAAAAAAATATTTTTTTTCCAAAAATAAAAATGAGGGTGGCTACCCTCTCGGCTACCCCTTATCACTTAAGGGTATAAGAATAGATAACAACCTATTCTTAGACGTACTGAATATACAAATAAAATTTTATCAAAATCGGTTAAGCTGTTTCGGAGATGGTAACAAAAATCTTAAAAAACAACCCCTGTTAAAAAAATAGGGGGATGATGGTAGAACGGTGAAAATTTAGGGTTGTTTGTGTATTTTTAATGACAAATAAAAAAATTAAAATATTTTTTTTTAAAAAGTAAAAAAAATGGGGGTGGGCTACCCTTATCACTTAAGGGTATAAAAACAGATAACAACGTATTCTCAGACCTACTGAATATACATATAAAATTTCATCAAAATCGATCAAGCCGTTTCGGAGATGGTAACAAAAAATTAAAAAAAAACATCCCCTATTAAAAAATAGGGGATGTTTTGTGAAAACTTAGGGTTGTTTGTATTTTGACGGTGAAAACTTAGGGTTGTTTGTATTTTTTAATGCCAAATAAAAAAAATAAAAATATTTTTTTTTAAATAAAAAAAATGGGGGTGGGCTACCCTTATCACTTAAGGGTATAAAAAATATATAACAACCTGTTCTCAGACCTACTCAATATACTTATAAAATTTCATCAAAATCGGCTAAGCCGTTTCGGAGATGGCAACAAAGAAAATAAAACAACCCCTATTAAAAATAGGGGATGATAGCAGAACGGTGAAAATTTAGGGTTGTTTGTATTTCTTAATGCCAAATAAAAAAATAAAAACATTTTTTTCTTTTCAAAAAATAAAAAAAATGAGGGTGGGTTACCCTCTCGGCTACCCTTTATCAGTTAAGGGTATAAAAATAGATAACAACTTATTCTTAGACGTACTGAATATACATATAAAATTTTATCAAAATCGGTTAAGCCGTTTCGGAGATGGTAACAAAAAATTAAAAAACAACCCCTATTAAAAAATAGGGGATGAAAGTAGAAAGGTGAAAATTTAGTGTTGTTTGTATTTTTTAATGCCAAATAAAAAAAAATTAAAATATTGTTTTTTCACAAAATAAAAAAAATGGGGGTGGACTACCCTTATCATTTAAGGGTATAAAAAATATATAACTACCTATTCTCAGACCTACTGAATATACATATAAAATTTCATCAAAATCGGTTAAGCCGTTTCGGAGGACTACGGTAACCAAAACTGTAACACGGGAATTATATAAGATAATATTATATGTAAACTGCGGAGTGCGGAGAACGGAAAGACTGATTATAGCAATAGATAAAATTTAAAACTATAATTTAAAACTATTCAAGAAAGTACACACAAAACAAGGCAACGCCGCGCGTCTATTCGTTCAATTCCGAGCAAAATAGCGAGGCTCCACGAAGTTGGGGCCTCGCTCGCCAAAGCGAGGCCCCATCGACAGGTCAGATTTTGAGGCCAGACGAGACTTCTAGGGTATTAAGATATTCTTTGGTATTATGTAACAAAAACATATTTAAAGTAGCTAAATTACAATTTTTCATAAATATATATATAGGTATAACATTTCTTTTCAGTCAAACTATATAGCGGAAATATTTTTAAAAAATTATAGCTTACTTCTCTTCTTTCTCAGCCTGGTTCCATCCAGTGTTGGATATAGGCCTCTTCTAGGTTTTTCCATACTTCGCGATCTCTAGCCAATCTTATCCATTGTCTTCCCGCCACTGCCCTGACGTCATCGACCCATCTCTTTTTTGGTCGGCCCATACTTCTTGTTGTTCCCCTAGGTCTCCATAGGATTACTTTTTGGGGCCATCGGTCTGAATCCTGTCTTGCCACATGTCCTATCCATTGCCACTTCAGACTTGCCACTCTTTTAACGACATCTATTAATTTTGTTTTTTGACGTATGTGGGTATTCCGTATTTTTTTCTCTAATATTGACTCCCAACATGATTCTTTCCATGGCTCTTTGTGCTACTCGTATTTGTTCTGCTGTTTTTCGAGTAATTGACATAGTCTCTAAGCCATACGTAAGCACAGGTAGAATGCAGCTGTCGTAAGCTTTTTTCTTTAGGTTCATGGGCACCTTTTTATCCTTGAAAATATTGCTCATATTTCCAAATGCTACCCATGCCAAATGGATCCTGCGTTTGATCTCCGTATTTTGGTTTTCCTTGCCCAGCTTGATTTTATGACCTAAATATATATATAATGGTCTACGTTTTCAATAATAACGTTGTCAACGGTAATGTTATGGATATTGTTGCTCATTATCTTGGTCTTTTTCAAATTCATTTTAAAGCCAATTTTCTGGGATTGGTCATTTAGCTCATTTAGCAGGTGTTTAGTTCTTGAATGTCGGTGCTCAGCAAGACAATATCGTCTGCGAACCTCAGATGGCTAAGGTGTACCCCATCGATGCTTAGACCTCTATTTTCCCATTCTAATTTATTGAAGACATTTTCCAGTGCCAGTGTAAATAACTTGTGAGAGATGGTATCTCCTTGTCTCACGCCCTTGCCGAGTGGTATTTTTTCTGTTTTGAGGTCATCATCTAATTTAACTTGGAAGGTTGCACTATCATAATATTTTTTAATAATGAAATAATATCTGGAATCAATTCTCGCGTCCTCCATTGCAGCTAGAAATGACCAGGTTTCGATGCTGTCAAAGGCTTTTTGGTAGTCTACAAAGGCCAAATGTAGAGGTATATTGTATTTTGTTGTTTTTTCAATGACTGTTTTAATTGTTTGTAGATGATCGATGGTACTAAAACCTTTTCGAAAGCCTGCCTGTTCTATTGGCTGATAGGAATCTAGTTTCGTAGACAGTCGGTTGTTGATAATCCTAATGAAGAGCTTGTATAGATGCGAGAGAAGGCTTATTGGTCTATAATTCTCTATATTTCTAAAATCTCTTTTTTTGTATAATAGCACCAACTTCTGCGTTTTTCCATGCGTCCGGGATTCTACCCTCCATGAGACATTTATTTAACAATACTTCCACGGCATCCACTAATGGTTTTCCGCCCATCTTCAGCATTTCAGGTGTAATACGATCTTCTCCTGGGCTTACTACGTAGGCCTAATATAAAAATAATATCAATGTAGTTATTCCGTGAAAGTAAACACTTTTCACTAAAACGCCTGCAAAATTTGACTAAATGGGCTAGATATTTTAGATGATTTTATCGTTTTGTCCGAAAGATAAAGTAATGAGCATTTTTAAATGATAAGCTTGATTTTAAAAATAAACATATGTTTTTTTATCGATGAATGGAAATTCCTTGAATAAATTTTACAATAATTTAGGACCTGGGATAAAGTTGATAAATCGAATTAATTCCACCTAGAACGTCAAAATTTCACACTGTGCGTCGTCGGAAGCAAAAAAACTACAAAGAATAAAGAAAAAAACTATATAAAATATTTAAATTCAACTATTCTTTAGAGAACACTTTACTTTTTTTTTAAACAGATACGTCTACAAGAAACCGTTGACGGTCAACGGTTAGGTTAGGTTAGGTTTAACTTATAGCAATCTCAATTTAAATGGGATTTTTTAATTCTTTTTACAGCGCAAAAGGGTCAACTTTAGCGATCCTTGTACCACCGAAAAGAAGATCTTCATTAAAGACGACAATTCGCATTGCCTATTTACATCCACAGAAGACGACGAAGAAGATATTGACAGGCAATTTTTGGCAGTTTTAACAGCCGGTAGCGTTGAATCGCTCGAGATCGAAACCGAATCTATCCACACAGAAGAAAGTCTTCAGATTAACAATCCGCTCATATTGTGCGACGATCGACCGATTTTTGCCGATTTGATCAACTGCGACGCTGACATCAACGTCATTGCGCGCAAACTCACCGGACCCATGTTTTTGAAGGCTCTGTTGAATAAATTGAGAAACAAAGGTATCAACACTATAGGCGACTTGGCGAGGAAAAGCGAAATTGAAATTTCCAAGATGCCTTTTAAATCGCCTGGCGTGTCTAACGTATACAAGGTTTTGGAAAGGTACCACGCTAAGCACTGTAAGGAGAACGCTAAGGTGGAACAGTTGAATGTATCAGTTGTTCCAGTTGAAAATGAAGTAACGACGGTGGTTGATACCGCACAAAATGATTTGGTTAAAGCTGTCGAGAGGGTAAAATGTGAGGTGAGTTACAGAAATATTTTTTTTTTCGTTCTGAAATATTTTTATTATATTAAACAATAAAATGCGATATATTATACCAGCTTTTTTATAATGAAATAATTCTTTTTCAGTAAAATTTCAATATAATAAGAATGATTGTAAATTGGCTTGTATTAGATTTTTAAATTTTGTATTCAGGGTGTCCCAGGCTGGGCGTGCATTAGAAGTTCCTAGAGAACCACAATATCTAGATCGGAGATTTTTTTCACATCATTGTTTTACAACGAGATCTATCGATTAAAAATATTTTCAATATAGCGGCACTTCCGGAAATACCGTAAGTTGACAGCAACTTTCTTATTTTAAATGGGTGCCCCCATTTTTGATTACATATTTAAATTCTCTGTAAAATTCTATGAATATTGATGTTAAACACTCTATATCAACATTAACCGTTTTTATAATAATAATAATAGCTCCCGTATATAGCGTTTAACGCCTTGGCAGTAGCAAGGTACAGCTTGCCATGCTAGAGCCGTTCAGTATACAAGGAGGGTAATGTGGCTAGCACTACGCTTCAACCGCCTATTATTACCCCAGGATTGTGAATCCCAAGTACTCATTTAAGGCTGAGTCAACCTAGGTACCCAAACTATTTTTATTTTAATCAAAATAGTCGGCTGATCAAATGTCGGGTGTAGGAACCTCTACGCCACCGGGCACCATTTAACCGTTTTTGAGAAAAAAAATATTTAAAATTTTTGGACGAAAAAAACTACTTGTCAAAAAAATTTGTATAGCCTAAAAGTCAAATTTAGTCACTACCACAGTTACTGTGACATAAAGAGAAGACATGTGGCTATCTATTTCAAAAATTAAATTGTTCAAATGTCATATAATAATGGCGGCAGCTGTCATGGAATTGAGCGATTAAAAAATTATCATAAATCATTTTGTTCAAATGGAAACCCACTTTTTTATTTCACTAATGAAACGGTTTTTCAATTCGTTACTTTTTAACTATACATGTTCCTATACCTAAAATAAATCGTTTTTAAGTTATTTAAGATTGAGTTTGAAAACGTATATTTTTCTTGATTTTATCTAGCTTCCTTTGACATTAAGTGTCAAACGGTCAGACAATTTATTTCCATCTGTCAGAAAACGAATTATTTGAATTTCCTATATTATAAATACTGTTTGCTTTAAGACTTTAAAAAGTGTATTTATAAAAATATATCTCGTATTTTCGCTCTTTAGTGATATCTAATAGGTAGTTGATATTTTTACTAATATTCCGTATGATCGAAAAAAAAACAACGCAAAGTTGGCTCGAAAATGATGCTGCTTTGAAATGAACAAAGCGTCACAATATGACATGGCCAGATCTATTGTTTTACATCACTTGACGTTTAAAGTCATAGGCTACTGGTTAAAATCAAGAAAAATATAAGCTTTAAAACTAAATCTTAAATAACTCAAAAACGATTTATTTTAGGTATAGGAACATGTATAGTTAAAAAGTAATGAATTGAAAAGCCTTTTCACTAGTGAAATAAAAAAGTGGGTTCCATTTGAAAAAAAAATATTTATGATAATTTTTTAATCGCTTGTATGAACTACGGCCATTATAAAATTTTACGGAGAGAATTTAATTACATAATAAAAAATGTGGGGGCAACCATTTAGAATAAGGAAGTTGCTGCCAACTTCCGGTATTTCCGGAAGTGCCGCCATATTGAAAATATTTTTAATCGATAGATATCGTTGTGAAACTATGATGTGCAAAAAATCTCCGAGCTAGATGTTGTAGTTCTCTAGAAACTTCTAATGCACTCTCAGCCTGGGACACCCCGTATACTTAGTGTCATTTTTGCTGTCCTTGCTGTATATCTCCGTTATTACTGAAGATAAATGTTTGCAGTTTTTGCGAACGTTTGCTATTTTCGTGACAGGTTTTGTTCAAGAACAGTTAACCTAATAGGACTGCTCATTCAGCCAAAAGTGTCCGTTGAATCCATTTTTGCTTTTGATCAAATCGGTGTGAGAAACTATGAAGCTATAAAATGTTGTTTCGGGAGAGTTGAATATCTGGGAAAGTTGAGTTATTGAATGTTATTGCACCCAACAACGCCCTAATTACACTCTCCTTTACGCGTTAACATTTTTTCGGCAATTTTATTAACGTTTGAAATTGTCACAACACAACACGACGCCTAGTTCGAATTCTTTTTCACTTATTTTTACTTCCCGAAACAGCGTTACATCACACAAACCTCTTACCTGAGTGTTTTAGATTCTCAATAACTGCACTAGCAGAAAACTAAAATACTTAAATATTATGACAAAACCACGATTTCAATATTATTTTAATGCGATCAACATGACGGCGCGTGAAATATAAACTGATAATTTCTGATTTCTGCCATTGAAGCGCTGCGGTCGGAATTACACCCTGTAGAGTTGATCAGTTACAGCATCAAGTTAAAATTGAAATCACATTTTCGCCTTATCTTTTTTTTACATTTTGTTTTTTTATTTACTCCATTATCTTCCTTATTACACGAGAAACAACATTTTATAGGATGACATGATTTAATATTGGTTTTAATTGACATTTTTCCATTTTACTCACTAAAGTAGCAGGCTATGGAAAAACACGGATTACCAGTAAATGTCAAATAGAGATGCTTGTTGTCAGTGTCAGTCGTTTTCGTCCTTTTATTATATCAAAAATATGCAACGTGCACGTGAAACAAGAAATTTTACTGGCGAAGAATGTGCTCAAGCATTAATATTGTCTGAGGAAGGTTGGAGCTACCGAAGAATTGGTGAACAATTTAATGTAACTCACTCAACCATTTCACGAGTTATACAACGGTATAGAGATACTGGGAGTAATTGTCGCAGGCCGGGACAAGGCAGGAATCGAAGAACCAATCCGATTCAGGAACGTTTTTTAAAACTCTCAATATTAAGACAACGTTTCGTAACACCTCGGACCCTTCAAACTCAGCTCAGAGCATCTAAAAAAACTAGCATCTCTATTTGACATTTACTGGTAATCCGTGTTTTTCCATAGCCTGCTACTTACTTCAGTGAGTAAAATGGAAAAATGTTAATTAAAACCAATATTAAATCATGTTATCCTATAAAATGTTGTTTCTCGTGTTATAAGGAAGATAATGGAGTAAATAAAAAAACAAAATGTAAAAAAAAGATAAGGCTAAAATGTGATTTCAATTTTAACTTGATACTGTAACTGATCAACTCTACAGGGTGTCACAAATTTTATTAAAAAAACACGTTATAATTGCTACACCCGGTATTAGTATAAAAAGGGTTCCTATCAAAATACAGTTAGTATAGCAACATTGTGGAAAGAATAACCTATCATTCAAAAAAAAAATCATCCAAATCGGATAAATGGTTTTGACAAAAACTTTACTTAAACTTTTGGTTATTTTTTTGTGGTACGTTAATTTATTGGGGAAGTTTAGTTTTTTCAATATTCTGGATATTAGGCATTATGGCATTATTTCCATATTTTATATTTTAATTTTATGTTGAGTCAATAAATATTATCAGTTACGCTACACTGAAATAACTAGGTAAAATTGACAGAAATTGTCCTAATCTAATTATTTTGACAGTAATAAATAATTACAAATTAAAAATAAAATCAGTTAGTAAACTTTAAAAGAATTTTATAACTTTTTTTGTCGGGGAACGACGGTACGCACTACAAGCAACTATTTTCGAAGCTTTTTTTAAATTTCCAATAATCTCTCCATTATTGAAATCCTTACACAATGTATTTCCAGATCTATGTACTTTACTATTTTTATTTTATTTTATAGGGAACTTCCACCGAGACCATATGCACAACGCTATTCCCTCTGTTGGACCAAAATGAAATACTAACTTACACGAAATCCTATTACCAACTGGAAGAGAAAAGCGATCAAAGTGAAAGTAAGATTGATCAAGAATCTCAAACGGCTGCAAACGATTTGGAACAAGATGATCCAGGGACGAGCGAAACTGAACTGATAAACTCTGAAGATTATAATCCAGTAGAAAAACTAATTGGTCAGCTATCATCATCCGAGTTTTCCGAAGAGGAACTAGTAAAGATATTTGGAGTAGTTACTGATAAAATGGCTTCCTTCTCGCCTAAAAGATTACTTCAGATATCTATTGAAACATTACAGAAAATAACTTTCAAAGATTAGTTTTCTGAAAGTCCAGTTGAAAATTGTTGTTTGGTTCCATCAACTTAGAAAGGTGTCTTTTTATTTTACAGGTTTTCACTTTTTGGTGTTACAACGTTTATTAAATGTCATTAATTCATATTCATTCTCATAATTGCAAAATTTTTAATTACACTCAGATCTAAAAAATGCGTCAAACTTTAAGCGTTATACTTTTTTAATGTTTAGCCCTATTTTCTAGTCGTATTGTCATATTGACAGTTATATTTTGTGTACCAGTTTAGATTGGAATGCTCGGCTTGCCGCGAAAACTTATAATTGTTTTGGAACGCATACGTTGTAGGACGCTGCTATAGCGGTTGCTAAGAACAACCGCAAAAAAGAACAGACACAATTTTCTCTCATCAAAGTCGGCATCTTCAAAAATTATAATTATTGCACAGGGTGCAGTTTTAAAGTGAGGGTAAAAAACAATCCTTTCATTAACCCTGTAATAATAAGCCAAATACTAAAGTTTATAAAACCATACTGAGTTTATAAATTAAAAATAAAACTAAAAATAGGAGTAAAAATTAAACAAATATAATACTTTAAATTTAACCGAAACATTTCCGTTGCGTTTTTTTGCATCTGAGTGCAGAAAGAAACATTATTTTAGTTTTGAACTCAGCATTGCATGCAGGATATTGATATTTTCTTTAGAAGACATCCCACTCTTAAACCTGAATATTTTCCTTGCAGGAAATAAAATTTTGGTTCAGTCTCCAGTCTCATGAAAGGGATATGCTACATTTAAAACTATTAATGGAGAGTTAAGCTTCATTCAGAACCTCGCAATTAGTGGCGTAAATTAGGGGTTTCAATTACACTGTATACTTTTTAGTTTAGGATTATTCACAATGTTTAAAAAACACAATTGAAATGAATAGAATATTCTAGCAACAGCAAAGAGAATAAAATTTCTTATAAAAAAGGTTTTATGAAAATTTTCGCTAACGTCAACCGTTTAAGCACAAATCTCTGGAAATTTTACAATTTTGCGTAAAATATGATATATTATGTATAGTCGATTTTCCGAAATCAAATGTCGATTAGGGTTCACTAAAACTAGTTTTAGTTTAGTTTCTTCAATTTTGTCATAAAACAGTGGCGTATCATTAAATCGCTAATAAACTAAACTAAAACTAGTTTTAGTGAACCCTAATCGACATTTGATTTCTGAAAATCGACTATACATAATATATCATCTTTTACGCAAAATTGTAAAATTTCCAGGGATTTTGTGCGTAAATGGTTGACTTTAGCGAACATTTTCATAAAACCTTTTTGATAGAAAATTTTATTCTCTTTAATTTTGCTCTCCTTACATTTTCGCGAAAAACGCATAGTTTTCGAGATATTCACAAAATACCGATTTTGGGCGCCATCTTGGCAAGATGGCAGCGCCGGCGGCAGGTCTGGAAATGTGCATTTTATGGATTTTAGTTAGGGACCCCAAAACCTACAAACCTGCAAAGTTTCAAAACTTCCGGACTTTTTTCCAAGCAGGCCCCTTTTTTGATCCCCAATGACTGAACTAAAAGGCCAAAATGACATTTTTCTAGTGGAAAAGTTAAAAGTTTGATAACTTTTTCTACTAATTGAAAATGTCTACCAATAATTTTGATATTCTGAATGCTTACTTTGAAATTAAAGGAACAACTTCTACGCTAATTGAAACCATTAATTTATTCCCCTAATTGCGAGGTGAATGAAGCTTTATACCGTATAATTGAAAAAAATGTTATCACAAGGACCATTTTTTTAAAATTGATATAAAAAGCTGTCAAAGATTTAAAAAAAGTAAACATTTTTGAAGATAGATATATTTTTATAGATTAGTTATTTATATATATACAGGGTTGTTCACCACATACAACACGGAGTATTGTAGCTAAACGATTAGATTTTTACAAATTGTAAGTTTTGGGTTCGTTGAAGGACTAATAGAGCTACAATTTAAAAATATTTTTACAAGATACAGACTGTCCCAAATAAATAAAAAAAAGTTGTATTTTTTTAAATGGAACACCCTGTATAGTATTGCATTTTTAGTTTCTACGATTAAAATAAAGGTAAATTTCATTAAGGTTTATTACACTTAAACCTTACCGTTTTTGAAATATTTTCAATTTTGCGAAATTGCAGTATACATTTTAAGGCTTCAATTTCTTTTCTCCGAGGATATTAAAGTTTTTAATACTAAATATTTACTGAAGTTTATTTATTGGTCAGTTATTGTGTTCCAATAATAAAAATTATACTACCTTGTTCAGAGTGTCTAAAATTTTATTTTAAATAATTACTAGCTTTAAACGGCAATAACTTGTTTAATTTAAATGGAACACCCTGTATATTTTATGAGAATCAGATGCACAATTTAATTGTCTATCAAATTGTATTATACCACTTCTTACCTATTCCTTCAAGTTTTCGTAGAAATTGCATTTTCTTATAATTTAGACCTCATTTATCAATATACCCATGGAATATTGACATTTTAGGTTGTTTTTAAACAACAAATGTACACAAAATATACAGACTAGTAATACTATCGTTTTAGTAAAACGATAATATTACTAGCCCATTTGTATACAAAAAGAAAACTATTTATATCTTTATAAAAGAGTATACTATTAATTAATATACCACCAGTATTTCCGCCCAAATACTAATTAACTACATACTTAATTGTGTTCGTTAATAAATTATTCTAAATAAATGTGGATTTGAATCAGAAATCAATATAATAATAAGTTATGAAAATGAACGTCTCTGTTGTTATAAATAAGCATTTGTCAACAAATTAAATATAATTTTGAAGGTGTTACTTTTTACCACACTGTCTAATACACATACATAATTCAGTTTTTTAGTATTTGGAGCAATTATTATTAATCAACGCAAACAGTCAATTAATGTAGTTTGAATACTGAAATCATATTAATTGGTCCTCTTTAACAAATATTTAAACAGTTTTTTTTAATTTGTTAATGAAATAAACGAACTATATCGACAATATTAGTATCTGTACTCTTTAAAAATTCTTTAAAAATCTTTAAAAATAATCTAAAATGTCAGTATTCCATGGGTATATTGATAAATGAGTTCTAAATTACAAGAAAATGCATTTTCTACGGAAACTTGAAGGGATAGGTAAAAAATGGTATAATGCAATTTGATAGACAATTAAATTGTGCATCTGATTCTCCTAAAATATACAGGGTATTCTATTTAAATTAAAGAAGTTATTGGCGTTTGAAGCTAGAAATTATTTAAAATAAATTTTTAGACACTCTGTATAAGGTAGTAAAGTTTTTATTATTGCAATACAATAACTGATCAATAAATAAATTTCAGTAAATATTTAGTATTAAAAACTTTGATATCCTCGGAGAAATGAAGCCTTAAAATTTATACTGCAATTTCACAAAATTGAAGATATTTCAAAAACGGTAAGGTTTAAGTGTAATAAACGTTAATCAAATTTACCTTTATTTTAATCGTAGAAACTAAAAATGTAATAATATATAGGGTGTTCCATTTAAAAAAATACAACTTTGATATTTTTTATTTATTTGGGACACTCTGTATCTTGTAAAAATATTTTTAAATTGTAGCTCTAATAGTCCTTCAACGAACCCAAAACTTACAATTTGTAAAAATCTAGTCGTTTAGTTACAATACTCCGTGTCGTATGTGGTGAACAACCCTGTATACTCCAGGGTTGTCGCAACCAACGTCGCATCCCCACGCCTAACCGCCACCTGTTACGATCAAGATCTTCCTCTTCCAAGTTACGGTCCTCCATTGCCCTTCTGATGGCCTCATTCCAGGATCTTCTAGGCCGTCCTCTTTTCCTTTTTCCAGGAGGTGGCCAGCTGTAGATACGGTAGGGCCATCTTCGTTGTTCCATGCGTAGCAAGTGACCAAACCACTTAAGGCCCCTCTGCTCGATAGATTAGTTATTTACTGAATATATTTATGTGTGAATGGTGACATTTGAATGAATGACATTATTTTTTGATAACGTGTTTGAAAATGTGGCGATTATTAATAGCTTTCCCTTTCAGAGGCTACCGTGACGCTGTTTTTTTTCGATTGTAATATAAGATTTTTTGATTCTCTTATAATTTTAACAGTTTTTTTTTCAGTAATAATTCAGATTGTGTTCAAAATATTCGAATAACGAATTAGATTAGTATAGATTTAAATGAGCTTTAATATGATGTGCTACTTGCAAAGTTTAAATAATCTTTGTATTGTTTGAAATTAAACAATTTTTAAATTTTAATTATAATTTTAAAATTGTTGTGTTTTCCCAATTTTATTATTTTGTTTCTTGCAACGAAAATATTTAAGATGTCAATATTTACATTTTTAACATACAGGGTGTGCTGAAAAGTTTGCAACAAATGGAATTTTTTTTATTTAATTTTTTATTAAAGGTTGATGTCGAATTTCTTAAGTTAAAAGAGGGGTTAGGAAACAATATTTCGAAAAAAGTCAAAGAGAAAAGTTGTTGAAAATTTGGTTTTACATTCATGTGTCAAATTTCATAAATATACCTATAGGTTAGTTTTAATAAAAGAAATATTGAAAACTATTGCATGACAAGTCAGAATGATTTTTGTTATTATCGAATGTGCTGAAGAAATCTTTTTTATTAATTAAATAACAAAAACAGTCCTATTTGTTGCGAACTTTTTTACACACCATTATACCTTTTTACAACTAATTAATAATGCATTCAACATTAAACTACTATAATTTTTTTACTGATAATTTTTTATACATATTTATAATTGTAAAACTATACTATCAGTAGGAGTTATAATAAGTCCTTTCCTATAAAACGCTCTATAGTAAGTGTATGTGTTACTTTTACAATTTTAAAATTATATAAGATTAGAATATCCTCATGTATATGTTCAATATATTATAGGTTATACAACGGCATTCAATGAATTATTTAAATCTCCAGTTCGGTAGAACTTAGCCACTACTTTTGCAAGACTGTTTTTTTTGTACATTATCTTTTATAAATATGATATATTAAATGTCTGCTGTATGGAGGCGGTAAAATTATGTGCTTAGTTAGTTTAGAAATTGTAAATTTTCAAATGTAGCTTTTAATTGTTAGTTTTACCGATAATAAATACAGATGTAATCTAAGAAGAAAGTGTTATGTTTTGACAGTACCAATGTATAGGGTTGGTGCATTTCATCCAATGTTTTAAAATTCCGACAGCAGCGTTCGGTCCGGCAGAAATCAGAACTGTCCAGCCACTGTCCCTATATTTCACGCCGTCCCGGTTGCCGTTCATTTGGATCGCATTGAAATAATATTGAAATCATGGCTATGTCATGTTATTTCAGTCTTTTGGTTTTTACTAGTGTAGAGTTATGACTTTGAGAGGGCTTTTAATTCGATATATATATCCTAATGCAATAATAGAAGCTCTAGCGAAACAATGTATTGACAGGCCTTAGAAAACAGAAATTCTTGCCAATATATTATACAAAGAAACCAAAACAAAAGTAATGATATATAAAACATCCCCAGAGTTCCCAACTGTTTAAAGCTGTTTACAGCAACATTAGAAGAAATCTTCCATCAAGTTGACTGGATTAACAAAGGATTTAAAATAGATGGAGAATATCTTAACATCTAAGATTTGCTGATGATATAGTCCTAATTGTCACTAATAGTCCTGAAGAACTACAAGCACATATTAATGAACTAAATACATCCAGCAGTAAAGTGGATCTCAAAACGAATAACCTAACCTAAACAAAAACTAAAGTAATGTACAACGAACTAGCAGAAGGAAAAGACTATATAGTACTTCTCAATTCTGTTCATAACTACAAAACATATGATGCGCATTTCTTCCAAAT